GCCTGCGAGGCGCTGCGCTGTCACGTGCCCCGCTCCTTCACTCGAGGGAGAGCAGAGATGGGGCTTCTTCCCCCCCCGCCCTTCCTTCAGTTTGTTCCCTTTTCTCCAGTCCAGTTTTAGAGCCTGGCAGAGACCTGCTGGGCCTTACCGTCCTGGCAGTGGCGGTCATCAAACTACATGGCTGCAGTCGAGGCGCTGGCTAGGCTGCCTGGCTCTGTTAGTCTTCAGCGAGCCACACGGCGCTGAGGGCACCTGCCTTGTTGCCAGGTTGGGGGCATAGGCAACTGGTTGGGGGGGTGCTAGGATTGGTGGCCACCACCACTGTCATTGCTGGCTTCTGCAGGCGGTTGCTGCTCACCACCCTGCCACCCACACACTGTGCCCCCCCAGTCTCAGGAGGCACCAGCCACCCATGCCTGGGGGGTTCCAAGCACGGGAGAGACCCCCCTCAATATCATGAGGATTTCTTTTTTTTTTCCCTTAAGGGGTTTGGGGGTATTTTTTGGTCTCTGATTTGTGAGTTCCTCCATCCCCCTCTCCCTGCACTCCCTGTTGCCAGCTCTCCTCAGTGTATTGAATGAGGGGATTCTGGCCCATTGGCACCTCTGCGTCTGCCAACAAGGCATGACATTTCTTTTGGTCGAATCCTCCAATATACCTAGTCTCTTTGGATGCATCAACACATGCGCTTTAACGCCTGCTAGTCTATTTCAATGTGCATTTCTTTAGCTAATGCACATTTAGGCTAATGCACATTTTTCTAGTATCTCACAATGGAGGGCACTTTTACATGTGCTCCAGGGCTGTGGGGGGGGGGGGGGGGGCTTTAATTAGACCGCTCGGAGAGCTGCTCTAATTAACGTGCCACAGTGTCTCATGTATCACCGTGCTTCAAAACGGTGGTGGGGATGCTTGAACTAAAGCTCATTCAACAAGCTTTAGTTCAAGTACCCCTGCCTCCATTTCAAAGCATGGGGACACCGATATATGAAGCTGTTGGAGCGTAGTTACCATCATGCTCCAGCCAACTCAGTTGAGTCTACTCTGACATGCTATAATTACAGCGTGTCAGAGCAGCCTTTGCGATCGTGTACAGGCACCCGGAGGTACTAGATTTAATCCACATTACCAAAAGTGCATTAAGACCGTCTGAATCCTAGCCTTACCCTCCAGTGTATCCACTATTCCCCCCAGCTTGCTGCTATCCACAGACTTACTGACTCCATCCCATCTTCCAGGTCACTGAAAAGATATTAAAGAAAACTAGCCTCAAGACCTACCCCTGGGCACTCTCTGCCTTAGAACTATAACTTCTATTTGAGGCAGAGTACATCTACAGTGAAGCTTTGCCAACATATCTTTGCCTGTTGGAAGTCTGGAAAAAAAACACAGCCCTAAGCAAAATAACAAATCCCACTGTTATATCTGTTGGCATAGCTTATTTTATTTAGAGAGCTGGTATAAGCTCCAATGACAAAAATAAATCTTTTGCCAGTGTAAATTGCTTCTCAAGCACAGAGACTTGCAGCACTACTTCAGTACAGCTGCAACATCAAACACTTCCTATTATGAAGAAGGTCTAAGCAGGAGTGAAGTGGATGCATCAGATCTGTGTAGAGCAGCAGAATGGGCCTAAGACAATAGCAACCAAACAGGTAACATTGCTAGTGCCTGAGATTGGGCCCTTGCTTGTGTTGCCTATTTCCTTTGTTTTCTGGTGATTAGAGAAGGGAAAGACTGTGTCCTGGCTTTTCTGCTGCCACCTGGCTTTGTCCAGCCAAACCACAGTAGGTGGAATCATCATTTTTCTTCAGAAAGGGCATACCCGGTCACTCCTCTTGACCAACAGAGTGAAAAGAGCAGTGCAAACAGCAGCATAGCAATGGTACTAGGCATGAGTATCAGGCTCTGCCTAATGGGTAGAGCTTCCCATCCCCTAGCCCACCCTCCCATTATCCTCAACCCCTAGTCCTCCCACCCCTTCCCTGTAGTAGTTCTAAAAGTAGGGAAGTTGGAGCAGGAGTAATGGGGTTGGCAGTGCCTTGATGGTGGCAGCACATGATATATGGACAAGAACTAGCAGAAATGGTGCTGTGGGACAATGGTGTCAGACAGAGTTCTCTCTTTCGCCTTCTTTTTTTGCCAAGAAAAATCAATTTTTAAATCACCTCTCAATACACATGTTGGTGACAAAAAGCAGAGGCAACCCCCTCTCCCGCAGCAGCAAACTTCTGACTGACTTGACCTGTTCTGCTGGCCACTGGCTCCTGACCACTTCCCTGGGTGCAGAATTGGCCAGCCACACCTCTGAGAACTAAGACTGATTACATTGTCGTAAATGTGTTCTGTGTCTAGATCCCAGGTGACTGATTGGGAGGTGGGAGGGGGGCCATGCTGCCCCCCAGATTTGTGTACCCACAGCAGGCACAGGGCTGCAGCCTGGCCAAACTAGCACAGGCAGGATCCACCCTGTTCAAGCACAGGAGGGTGGAGCAGGGCAGCGAGATTTGTTGTTGCCATTGCTGCTGCCATGAACCCCATGCAAGCCAGTGCCAGCAGCATAAGGAGTAACAGATGGTGGAGGGCCATGTTGCCCTCACCTCCTCCCACCACCAGCTGCTTGTGCACCAGGCCGCAGCTCTAGCCCACCACCACAGCTTGGCAGCCACTGCTACTGGTCTCTTCTGGCCACCGATGCTGCTTGCCACCCCACCTCCCCTCCAGGATGGAGTTGCAGCCTGAGGGAAGCAGCAGTAGCTAGGCCATGGCATGGGGCAGAGCCATGGCCCAGGACTCAAACAGTTGGCAGCAGTAGGAGGTGAGGGCAGCATGAACCCTCCCACCTCATCTGTTACTCCTTGTGCTGCTGGCACCACAGCTGATGCAGGGTTCATGGCAGTGGGAGTGGAAGCAGCGAGTCTTGCTGCCCCGCTTTACCCTCCCACACTGGAACTGACTCACTGGGCCATGAAGGCAGCTCCTGCCCATACTGGTCCAGCCAGACTGCAGCCCCATGCCTGCTGTGGGCACACAAACCTGGCGGGGCACATGACTCCCTCATGGTTGACCGCCACCCCTACCCCAGACAGCCACAGCCAGCCCCACACGCTGGGGCTGGGGGGGGCTAGTGGGTTGGTAGTGAGGGGCACCAGCAGGGCCAGTGGGCTGTTTTCTAGTTAAACTATTTACTGGGGACTGGTGATTGATATTTACAAATGGGTCCTGGCACAAAAAAGGTTAAGAACCATTGGACTAGACAACCCAAGAGTTGCCCTCTCCAGTCGAAGTCTGGAGAAGGAAAAACCTTGATGATCTTGTTCATTTTTACTTATGTCAGTCTATTAAGCTCATTTCTAGAGATCCTGACAGTTCACAAATCCAGCTTAAATCAATGGGTGCTAAGGGCAGAAGCACAAAAGTGGCATCAGTCCAGCGATTGACTGGGAGGAGAGGGGGGAAGGAGGGCATAAAAATATCAGCAGCTCTGCTGTCAGCCCACCACTGCTCTGCCACTGACACTGGCAGTGTAATCACTGATGCTATCATGTGTGCAGCTGCCACTTAGAGCGCTCAAACATCCAGGTATACCTCTGGTAAAGAGTGCTACTCCTAGGAACCAGGCCATAAGATTTTTCTTAACCTAGGGTCACACAAGACCTCTTGTATCCAGAAAGCTAGTATGGTCTCTGAACAGCTCACTGAATATGGAGGCAGCAAGGGCTCAAAGTCCCTTATGTAGTGGTAGTTCCTACTTCTGTAGAAATGTGACTAGGACAGTGTGCACAAGCCTGCCTGCATTTAAGGAGGCTTGCAAAAGTTTTTTCCTATGCTTCTTCAGGGTAACTGCTATGAAAGTGACAAATGCTGAGATTTTGCAGTTCATCTGAATGCACAAGTACTGAAGAGTGAATTGTGAAGAGTAGGCTGCATAAAGCTGGATGTGCGGTAGGGATGGATGTTATCATATATGAATGACTAAGCAGCTTCCACGTGCAGAACTAGAACCCAGCACAGGGAAATGTGGCTCCTGGGACAAATGGAGCATACCAGTTGACAAAGGAAAATCTGATGACAAGCACCAATGCCCAGGCTAAAGGTAAGTGTGGCCCGTTTCAAAGACCTGTGCCAACAGGATGCATGGAAATGTGAGATTCATGGAAGAAGCTGCTTATCACACATTGCTCTTCTCAGTTATTCATACCTTGACTGCACCCACTTTATATTCCTGCTATCCCAGGAGTGTCATCCTCCAATAGGTAGAACACACAGTGATGACCTTGGTTTTACCTCGTCAAAACATAATTGCTCAGTTTTGTTTTCTGAGCTGCATCTGATGTGGCTGTCAGGAAGTTTTAATGGCCATCAGTATACTATCTAGACCAATTTTATTATTAAGATCCATTGCAGGGCAACATCAGGTCAAATGTTCCCAGTTGTCTAACTTTAAGAAAATATTTCTATTTAATTCTACCGCTTGTCATATGGTATTTTATTGTAGGAGAAAGAAACTTCAGAATCATTACACAGTCACATAAAACAATGGAATTATGTATCCTTCCTTGCAACTCTGTATTTTGATGGTATATGGTAGGTTGTATACAGTGACCGAAAAGAGCTATTGTTTTCCCTGTTTTATTCCTGTAATGGCTATATAAGAGCCTGAAGTTGTGAGATTATCAGGGTTCACAAAACGACCTTGATTTCTGCATATCTGACTCCTGGAAAAGACAATCTATATTGTAGAAGTTGCACTTTGAATAACCTCAGGCAGAAGATCACTGTGGGTGATCCTGAGTTCAGCAGGAGGACAAAGAACAGAATGCTGTCATAAATGGAGCATGACATACAAGTACTAGGACATAAAAGAAGGCTGAAGAGAGAGGTTAGAGAAAATGAAGGCATCACAAACCAACCTTGCATCTGTTCAGTGTGATGATGGCTACTTTCAGAACTTCCTTACTTCTTTCTGAACCTTTTACTTACACTGGTATAAATTAGGAGTAGCTCCATTGTTGTCTATGGGGATATACTATCCTCAAGCTACATCTGCTAAAGTAAGCTATTGTTTACAAAAGCTTATGCAACCCTGATATAGTTAGTTTACAAGGTGCAAATTTACCTTGTCTTCTGTCTGGCTTCAGGCCAGAGGCTCTGAGTACATGGGGGCCTGATGGCCCTGGCCTCCCTCAGGAAGAGGGCTGTCACCTGAAATGCATAAAACTTTCCATCATCTTAGCCCCTCCTTTAACCTGGTCTTAAAAAATTTGAAGGATGAAGATGCCCTCTCTGGATAGTCTGTTCCAATTCTTAGCCACCTTCATAGTAAGAAAATTATTCTTAATATCCAAGTTGAGACCATTGCTCTTAGTCCTGTCCCCTGCAGCCACAGAGAATAGTCTGTCTCCATCCTCTATAACTATTCTTCAGGTATTTGAAGACTGTTATCAAATACCCTGAGAAAGGGTACTTGATGCCTAGAAGTTTGTCCAATAGCTCTTCCAACTATACAATTGGTCCAATAAAAGATTTCAAGAAAAATCCTTGCCTCTCAGATATTTTGTGGACCATCACAGCTACAATAGCACTTAAACCCCATCAAATACTAGTATTACCTTCTCCAGATTAGTTCATAGATTCATTGATGCTAGGGTCGGAAGGGACCTCAATAGATCATTGAGTCCGACCCCCTGCATAGGCAGGGAAGAGTGCTGGGTTCAGATGACCCTAGGGTCGGAAGGGACCTCAATAGATCATCGAGTCCGACCCCCTGCATAGGCAGGAAAGCATGCTGGGTCTAGATGACCCCAGCTAGATACTCATCTAACCTCCTCTTGAAGACCCCCAGGGTAGGGGAGAGCACCACCTCCCTTGGGAGCCCGTTCCAGACCTTGGCCACTCGAACTGTGAAGAAGTTCTTCCTAATGCCCAGTCTAAATCTGCTCTCTGCTAGCTTGTGACCGTTATTTCTTGTAACCCCCGGGGGCGCCTTGGTGAATAAAACCTCACCAATTCCCTTCTGTGCCCCTGTGATGAACTTATAGGCAGCCACAAGGTCGCCTCTCAGCCTTCTCTTGCGGAGGCTGAAGAGGTCCAGGTGCCTCAGTCTCTCCTCATAGGGCTTGGCCTGCAAGCCCTTAACCATACAAGTGGCCCTTCTCTGGACCCTCTCCAGGTTATCCACATCCCCCTTGAAGTGTGGCGCCCAAAACTGGGGGAGCCTGCCAGGCTCTCACAAATGTGAGCCTTGATAATTTTTTCAAAGACTTTGCCTAGATTTGACTAAGTCTGCTAAATCAGTCTTTGTCAACCCAGATAAAAACTCAGAAACCATCAGGCCAATTCTTACTTAGACCACTAGTTCATGGTGCCTTTCTTTTTGGCACACTAGTTGCAAACTCATGCGTGGAAAGGAAATTACAGTAGTTCCGTGGTGATTCGCAGGAGATGGGGCGATTACAATGACAAATTGTTCATACATGCAAACTAGTATGGGCCCTCCAAGGACTTGTTCAGAACTGCTGAGGCATTGTCAGGCTTCTGAGGGTAGAAACACATATCACCTTTGTGCTGCCATAAACATTTTTATGGCAGCACAAAGGCCAAGCAAACAGATGTCCATACCCCTTGTTGTGCCACAAACACCAATAATTTGTTGCCGTGACATAGCTGATATTAATTTGTGCCACTTTATGGAAAGTGGTATGGCCCCTTTAAGGGCAGGGTTTTGTAGAGACAGGCAACCAGCAAAGCAGGAATTAAGGAACAACCCTGTGGCTGAGTCAGCTGATAGGGGAGGCACATGACCAGAAAGGGGCAAGGCTTTAGTAATAGATAAGCCAGAGCCAGAGCAGGTAGTTATACCTAGGAAGCAGCAGGGTGAGGAAGCCTTGCTGTGAGATGGCTGCTGCTGATGACTGCCTGGCAGGGAACTTTGGGAATGCAAAGAGGAAGTACAATCAGACAGATATGATTCAGGGCACAGAAGAAGTGTGGTAGGCAGCCGGAGGGCTGAGTGTTTTGTGCTGCTGCCCTAGTTTGTGTTTAGGTTTTGCCCAGAGGATTGGGAGGGCTAGTGAAGGGGTGGTCTGGAGGTCCTGCTAGTGCCCAAGGCAGGCACAGCTAGAGAAAAGAAATAAAGGAGGAGCCATGGAAGTCTCAGGAGGAGGAGAAGAGCGAGGGGAAGTTCAGTAGAAAAAAGGAAGAGCTGGGGAAGGCTCTGAGGAAGAAAGTCAGAGAAGACTCCAGGAGAGAGGAAGAGCCCAGAGAAGGCTCAATGCCCACAAAGGGATGAGAGACAAGAGGACTGGAGTGTCCAATGAAGGAAAAGAGGACAGCGAGAACTAAGGCCTGAGTCCCATAGTCCAGTAGGGCAGAGACTGTTAAAGGCGCAGAAATTGGGAAAAAGCAAGGAGCTGTGAATAGACTGAATGGTAAAAGGGGCTGAATGCCCACTCATGGATGAAGTTTAACATCTGTGAGGCATGGGGGTGACTGGAGGTCATAACTTAAGTCCTTAAGGCAAGCAAGGTCGGGAGAGTTGACCACTGGAGAAGAGAGAGCATCTTGGGTTTGTCAGTCCCTAAGGGCAGCTTCCCTTTCCTTAAGTTTCCATCTGTGGTGGGCTCGCTGCTTTTGCCCAGGAAGCCTGCCTTGGAGAAGGACACCAGATTGGTGGAACATTTCCACCAATCAGGCAACAGCTGGGAGGGGCTTGCCCTGCCCCTGCTCAGAGGTGGGGGCGAGGAGCCCCTGGACCTGAGTGAAGTCTGTGTTTTGCAGGTCTGGCAGACTTCAGGGGAGGGGCCTTCAGTGTAAATAATGCAGCAAGAGATGGTGGAGAGAGAGGAGCTCCAGGAAAGACCATCATCATGACCCTGCCTGAGTCTCAATGGTACGCGGATCCAAGCACAGTGCTCAGGATCTTGGAGGCACTCGAGGCAACTGGAGCCTGTGAACCTGGCAAGCGGCTGGGTGAGGCAGTGCATGGATTGGCACACAGGGAGCCAGCCCTGGGAACAGCTTGAGGCTGCTTGGGCCCCACATGGTGTGCAGGTTGGCGCACAAAGCGTCAGCCCTGGGAGTAGCTCAAGGCTGTTCAAGTTAGCCCCAGCTCTAGGCTGGATAACCAGAGCCCCGCATTGTGACTCAGCATTAAACTAAAAGAGCCCCGGTGCCCGGAGCAGAGCCCAGGAAGGGGAAAGTCCCCCTGCATGTGGCTGGGGAACTGGAGCCAGTGAGGGCTCAGCTCCCATAGGAGATTCCTGGGTGCCCAATGCGGGGCACAGGGTTCAGAAGGAAGGACCCTCAACTCAAGGCCAACAGCTCCAGGAGGCTTTGGACTGTGTGGGGACCCACAAGCCATATTGACGGCCCCCAGTAGAAGGACTGTGAGCTACTGGGAACCCAGGTCCCACAGGGGTGGCGCCCCCAGGCAAGGGACCCTGGAAGGAGTGGGCAGGGGGGAAGGCCCCACACGCCATCTGCTCTCCTGGGTTGGAGGGGAGGAGACCCCAAATATACACCAGGGAGGGTTCTGTGGAACCCCCAGGGAACCTAGGGGGAGAAGACCCTATCCCGTTTGAGAGACCAAGTGGCTGGAACCCAGATAGGGTGCATCTAATATCTGGTATAGTTGTTTCCTATTCGGTATCTATTGTTATTGTTGATGATAAATAGTTGGGTGTATTAATTCTGTATAATGGGCTCTGTAAGGATGTCTTTATTAGCTAACCCACTTGTGATATAAACTTGCTGGATTGACTGTCCTGGGATCCACCCCTCTTCTGGGCCTGAGGCACAGGTACTTACCCGAATGCTGTCCTTAGGGCAGACTTCCTCTTGCCATCAGACCTTTCTATGTATATTTGTATCTATATCTGTAATTATATCTATCTTAAAGAGTTTTATATATAAATGTTGGTAACTCAATAAATTGTACATAGTTAAGAACTTTGGGCCTGGGCTAACTCTATAGAGGAAAGAGGGATTCACCCAAAATTCCAGCATCCCTCTCACAGCACCCCCTCCTGCCTACCCATCCCATCCAATTGAGACTAGGGCACACCCTTGAGTGTACTCGGGTTACATGTTGATATGTGGCAGGCAAGAAAGCAAGGCAAGACCTTGAGAAACATAAAAGAGAGAGCCTGGCAGGGATGAAGTGGCTTTTACGGGGCATCACAATGATCTGTTGCATTAAATTTATGGCAAGAAAGCACAATCAGCTCCAGCAGTTCTGGGCAGGTACTCTTGGTATTTCAGGTGCCCTGTTCTGTGCACCCAGAGAATTCCCATACCTGGGGCATGCAGCATAGGGACCCTGAAGCCCTGGGAGTGCCCCTGTTTGAAATTCCCCAGACTATGTCTGTGCTCCAGTGCAGACCCAGAACTGGAACCACCGGTCCTTAAATAGGGGATACCCAGGTCCTAGGCCTGGAAGTCTCAGCTTCTGGACAGACATTTATTCACAGGTAGCTCATGGACCTTGATCAGCTATTCGTTATGGAATGTGCACATGTAACCTGCATCCATAGGGACATTAGACCCATGGGACATTAGACCCATGAAGGTATGGTTGTTGATTGACAGCTAGACTGCAAAAATGAAAGGTGGTCACCCATCTTTCCCACTTGGTGGTGGTGGGTTAAGGCTGGAGCCCACTAACCAAATTCCTGCACCTGGCAGCAAAGAGTCAACAGAAGCTGGGTACTCAGGATCACCCCAGTGACCAATTAGGGGAGATATTTTCTTTTGAGCTTGAGGTTTTTGGACCCTATCACAGGTATTTTTGAAGAGAAGCACTTGTAAGAGGCTGAGTAAAGGAGTCAAGAGTACAGTGGAGAAGACTGCATAAAACCAGGTTCATTGGGTAGCCAGCCTGAAGGAGAGGTTGTGCCCACAGGAGAATGGCCCAACTTCCTAGAGAGCCAGAGGGAGGACCCAACCTTTTTCCCACTTTATGGCCAACTGGCCCAGGCAAGTGACATAGTGATAGATCCTCACCCAGGATCCCCAGATCCTGATGTGGGTTTCTCGGGACTGTATAACCAAAGCCTGGAAGTACCAGTAATTGGTGCCAAAACAGCACTGCAACCAAGTTTTTAAACTGACCCATGACATAGCTTGGGTGGGCCATCTAGAACACAGGAACTCACCACATTTTTTTTTTGGCCTGGAGTTTACCAGGACACCAAGTTCAGCAGAAGTCCTTAAGGCAAGCACACCCTGCCTGAGTGCCAATTGGTGGCCCACAAACAAAGCATAAGGCACTTCTGGTACCTCTGGCCTTGGTGGGTATCCCTTCTGAATGGGTCAGGATAAATAGTCAGGTCTTTGGAAGTTAACACAAGTGGGTGCTGTTTTATCTTCATGCTCATGAACCAGTCTCCCCAGTACCTGGAGGCAGTAGTGATCTGTATTGCCTTGGCCCAAACAGTTGCCACAGAACTGGTAAAAAATATTCTCACAGATGGGTCTTCCACAGAAAATTCTGACAAGACAAGGCATGGTCTTTATGTCATGGCTGTTACAGCAGATATATGCCCTGTTAAAAGTGCACCCGGTCAGGATTTCCACCTTTTATCCCCAGACCACTGGGCTGGGGGAGAGATATAACCAGACTTTGAAGGAGATGTTGAGGATATTTGTGGCCAGTGAACCCCAAAAGTGGGATGTGCTCCTGTAATACTTGCTGTTTCCTATATGGGAGGTTTCCCACTCTTCCACAGGGTTCTCTCCTTTTGAAGTTTTATATGGAAAACAGCTGTGAGGTATACTGAACCTCCTTCATGAGACCTGGCAATCAAAGGGCATGACGTCTCAAAATTTTGCCCAATATGTTCTCAGGCTATGGGAATGGCAAGACCTAGACCTAGGGACATTTACCTAGGAGAATCTCAGGACTGTGTTGCAGACCCAAGAAAAATACAATAATAAGAACGCATGACTCCAAGTATGTCTCCTATTGCTGCTCCACTCATCAGAGAGAAAATTGCTGGGTAAATGGCAAGAATCCTGTGAGATCATGAGATGAGCTGGGGAAGTAGATTATGAAGTGTGTCTGGTAGGGAAATAGTGTAGGTCCTAGCTTTATCATGTGATTCTCCTAAAACCCTAGCAAGCCTCAAACATGCTGAATGCCTCAACCATTTTATCAAAGAACACAGGGAGTGTGGAACAAACAATTCAGTTCCTGACCAGTGAGGTAGCTCTTCAGGGGGAAATCTGTCCACAGCTGAATGAGATGAGGCAAAGAGCCTATTGAGTGAATTTCTGGATGTTTTTATCATCTGACCAGGAAGGACTACCGTGGTTAAACACTGGACCAAGGTGCCTTTTCCAAAAGGGGTTTTCCTGAATACTGGAGCACCTGTAGGAAAACATAAGAAAGGAGGTACAGAATATGATGGAAATGGAGGTTAGAAGAGTCATCAGGTGAATGGTACAGCCCTGTCATGTTGGTTCCAAAACTGGGCAGGACGAGATGGTTTTATATTGATTTCCATAAGCTGGACGTGGTGCTGGAAATTTGACACCTATCTGATATCACAGGTCAATGAGTTATTTGGTATTCCCCAACTGCTGTAATATATATCAATGTTGGATTTAACAAAAGGATACTGGCAAATTCCCTTTGCTCCAGAGTCTTGAGTTAACAGTAGTCACAATGCCTGGGGGCTTGTACCAGATTGGAACCCACCCTTTCAGTCTCTATAATGCCTCTGCCACATCCCAGCACCTAAAATACTGTAGCCACACCAAGAGTATGTTGCAACCCATCTTGATGATGTGGTAGTTTTTAATGGTATGTGAAAGGAACATCTCCAGCAGGTCAGGGCAGTGCTAGTCACTTCAGACTGCAGGTGTAGTGAAGAACACAGCAAAATACTGGCTTAGCCATAGGAAAGCCAGGTATTTGGAGCAGGAAATAGACAATAGGGAGATTATACTCCTCACTGACAAAGTAAAGGCCTTGGTAGAGTCTTTCATAACCAAGACTAAAAACTAGTAGAGTCTTTTATAATCAGTGCAGTGGTCTCCAGCATGCACTGATGCCTTTAGAGAGATAAAAAACAGATACTGTGCCCCAGTGCTGTGCAGTCTGAATTTTAGTTGCAGATTTATTCTGCAAATGGATGCCTCAGAGTGAGGCCTTGTGGCTGTTCTCTCTCAGGACTTTGAGGATGGAGAACACTCAGTTCTGTATGAGTCAAAAGTTCCTTCCCTGAGATCAAACATACTCCATGATAGAGAAGGAGTGCCCCACCATAACTGGTGATTGAAGCCCTCTGATTTTAGTTTCTCATGCCCCTTTTACTCTGGTACTACAACCTTACTCCTTCAACATCCACCACCAGCCAGGAGCTGCATATGACAATGTGGACTTCTCACAGAAAGGAGGGTGGTTAGACAAGGAAGAGAGGGTCGTGGACACTGTTGGAGGGGAGGAGTGATGTGTAACAGTGGTCTATCCCTTTAAGAGGTAACAGCTGGCCCTGTTGTAAGCTCAGGTGCTGGGCTTTTGGATAGACAGGGAGTATCCTCTAGGGATTTTAGAAAGCTCCCAGAAGAGTAAGCAGGGAAGGAGAAAGTGCGCTGTGAGCAGAGCAGAGCAGCAGCAGTAGTAGCAGCAGCCTGGCTCCTGTGTGTGGCAAGCTGTGCTGGGCCAGAGTAGGGTTACTATACATCTGGATTTTTCCAGACATGTCTTCTTTTTTGAGTCCTCTCATCTCTGCCCGGGCAGTTTTTTAAAATCTGAAAAAATGTCCAGGATTTGCTCTGCTCTGCTGGTGGGAGCAGGGGAGGATGATTGTAGGCAGGGACATCATGTGCATTTGTAGCCCTGGTAGCTGCATGCAAGTACGTCTATGCAGAGCAGGGGTTGGAGGGCCAGAGCTTGGGAACTGTTGGGGGTGGGGATTGGGCTGAAGCGGGCCAGGGGCCTGTCATAGCTGGGGAATGCAGTCTAGGTGCAAGGACTGCAGCAGGGCACAGGGTGGGGGGGATGCTTGTCCCCTGCAGTGGGGGAAGGAGGCAGAGGGGCCCTTCAGGGGCAGTGGGGAGCTGCGTGGCCAGGCTAGTGGCACCAGGGGCCGGTTCCTGTGCTTGAAGGGACGATGCAGCTGGGAGACACTGCCTGGGGGGTGGGGCATGGCTAGGCCGCCTGGAGTGGCACAGGACCTCAGCCCGAGTGGGGGGATGCTACAAGTATCTCCTCTGCCTCCCTGCAGCTTGCACTGGGGCTAGACTTGCTCTGCTGCCACCTGCATAAGCTGGAGCCGCCGCCGCTGGGATGGGAGAAGCTAGAGGCTCCCTCTGGCAGGGCAGCTGTTCGGGAGTGAGGGGCACCAACAGGGCTGAGGAGGCTGTGGGCTGGGAGTGCAGGGCACTGGCAGTGCCAGGGGGTTGCAGGTCGGAAGTGAGGGGCACCAGCTTGGCGCAGAGGGGCGGGGGACTGTGGGCAGGGAATTAGGGGCACTGGCAGGGCGAGAGGCTGCAGGTCAGGAATAAGAAGCAGCCGAAAGTATGCACCAGCATAGCCCGAGGGCCAGGGCTCTGTGGTTTGGGAGTGAGGGGTAGCAGCAGGGATGGCGGGGGGTGCAGGTTGGGAGTAAGGGGCACCCATAGGGCCAGGGGCTGTGGTTTGGGAGTGAGGTGTCCCCCTGATAAGTGTCCTCTTTTTTTGGAACTGGAAATACGGTAACCCTAAGCCAGTCAAAGGGCTTTCTTCTTAGTACCCAGGACACAGCAGAAGGGTTTGATTTTGTTTATTTTGTGTTTGTCTGTTTGTTACTTAAAGACTGTTTTATTTGGGAGGACTGGCTGGGAAGCTCCTTAGGGAGCAAAAACCTCCAGCAGGCTAGGCAATCCTTTTACAATGCCCTCTCATTCTTCTCTTCTTCCCCCGCTCAGATTTACCATGTCTTGGATAGTTTATAAGGAACAGGCCCTGAAGGATCTGTTACAGCTTGTGTGGAATGTAAGGCTTGTAAGTTATTTTTGTTCTTTATTCAGTTTCTATGACTCAAAAATATTTTTTCCCTCAATTTTTGAGATGCCATCTTCGTAGCCTCTTCCCCCATCAGTAAGCCCTGATGATGCTTGTCGTGTAACCTGGAACCCCGATGCAAATAACCCTCACTGTATCATGCAACATGTAGCTGACATGTAGCTGACTGTTGTGGATTGTTGGTCTAAAATGGTGCATGTCTTGCATGTCACAACAATACACTGGCAGGCACAGTCCTTGGGAAACTGGATTGTCAACTTCATGCCCCACATGTAGCCCTTATGGTGGACAACATGAGGCTCACTGATGTGGCCAAGGAGCAGGGGAAGTCCTTTAGGAAGGTTAAAGGAAGCTGAAGAAGACCTGGCTTGATGCCATTCATCAGAAGGGTCCCGCCTGATGTTCTGCATGACTGGAAAGGCGAAGCTAGCTATTTTGAAATGCGTAACAAGACAGTTTTACATTGAAGCCATAACGGCACTCTTTGTCTCTCTGAAATTCCTTTTTTTAACCCCTGAAGACATGCAGACAGTTTGCATTAAAATGGGGTTCTGCTATGACTCCTCAGACATCGTAGTGCCTTTCTCCTCTTGCCTGATTGGTGCCTTATTGTATCTTGTCATAACCCAAGGGTATGATTTTGTGTGTGCTTCGGCACTAGAATTATCCCTGCCAAATTACAGCTTCGTTGCACGGTAGAGTTTTCTGCTGCAGAGGAGAACCCTGGTGCAAGGAAGAGTTTCCCGCCTATTTGCAGCTTCCTTTGCAGGGTGCATTGCTCAAGTTGCAAGAGAAATGCACGGTGCAAAGGATTTCCCGCCACCCGCATGCAAATTTGTGTCCCGCTATTGGCTAGTTCTAAATTATTCCCACGTGGCGGCTAACGATTGGCCTGTTAGCCATATAAGAGGCTTGAGCAGTTTCCGCCCAAGCCGAAGAGGACTCCACATCCATCTTGTGGGGACTCTGGGTACACGGCAGGGAAATAAAGACCCCTGTGAGATTCAGAGGAGTTTGGCGACCTGATCCATCGCCCACCTCTTCCCGTCTTCGAGCGACAAATTTTATAAGACGTATTTACGAGTTTCCGATTTTGGTGGCGCGCTTACCCAGGGCATCCGGAGCTCTGTTTCTGTGGAGCCTAGCAAACTCCACATGACCGTTCGTGTTGTTTTTGTCTATAACCGCAACTCAAGCAAGTTTTCCAGCCTGCACTGCAACCATCTCCGGTGTAAGTAAACAATCTTTAAATCTACCGCTACGAGTCTGTGCTTAATTCTAGCTTGACGCGCGCCCTCTCCGACCCCGCGTGCCCGGGCTGCTGGCCACAGCCCGCGTGCAGCACGAAAAAGGGCCCGGCTCGTGACCGGCCCGCACATATCTATGCATTTTCACATGGTTCTTGAACTGAGCCTTACTATTGCAATGCTAAGTTTTGTACCTGAAAAAGTGCCTTTCTACTGCTAAAATTCTACCCTTTTTACGTGAAAAAAAGTCTGGAAAATATATCTAGTACAGTGCTTTGATATATAATGCTTCAAAAGCTAGTCGGTAACATGTTGTAGCCTCAAAACAGCATTGGAGATAGATAAAGTTCTGAACAGAATTCCTATTTTAGGCATTACTGTGCTCGATACACTTATTTCTGTTATGAATTTTTTATTTTCTCATGTCAAAAGTAGGGGACAGTTGCCTTTACGAGCACATGACAAGAAGAGTGGGGAGTTGCAATAGGTTCAAGGAGGGAAGACAGATAAGAGAAAGACATAGATGCATAATCATAGATACGCGTGAATAGGTACACACACTCGTACATATGCATGCGTATATTCATATATACATGTGTATATAGTTACACACACGTGTATGTATATATACATATACACACACGTGCATGCGCCCCATACATACCTACACCCACATAAACATATACTTGCATACACATGTACATGTTCATATATACACATACATATGTATAAATACTCACATACACATAATACATACATAATACACACACATATACATACACATGCTAACACTAGCAAGTCCTCTTCTCTCAACTCAGTCATGGTAAGAGGATGGAGGAAGCACTACAAGGACACCCTGAAAGCATAACTTAAGAAGAAACTACAGACCTTGATTTCCCCCCCGCTACCTAACCCTGGGACTTTTTACACGCTCCCTAAAATCCACAAACAAGGGAACCCTGGGAAACCTATCATATCCAACCATGGGACCCTAACTGAGGAAATATCAGGTTTCGTTGAATCAATCCTAAAACTGCTTGTCACCCACAGAGCAAGTTTTGTACAAGACACTACAGACGTTCTACGGAAACTTAAAAACATAGACCACCTTCCCAGCAACACACTCCTAGC